GAATTTTTCTGAAGTCACGTTATTTAAAATTTATTTGTTTAAGATGTTAAAATATGACATATAATATATGAATAACCTCAAAAAATTAGTATTTGAAATATCCTGAAAAAAATACTTCTAATAACATAATTTTTTTGGGATTATAAAAAAATACTTCTGAAAAAAATCCAGAATCCCCAATATCATCAAATCCTAAAAATGAACACATCATCACAAGTCAACCATTATCGGAAACGAAAAGTTGTGATTACAAATCCGTACCTTCTTCCATGATGCTTCTGTGTAATTTTTCCTGGATTTTTTACTTATCAATTATTCCTTCAACGTTTTATTTCAACCCACAATTGGTGGAGAATTCAAAAAATCCTAGATCAAGAAAGAAAGAAAGAATCTTCAAGGTTTGCATCAAATCTTAACTTGATGAACATCAAAATGGAACACCCAAAAGAGAGAAAAGGCCAAAGAGAGATTTATTGTTTCTTGGTCGAGAGAGAATTGAATTCTATGCTGTGTACAATTATTCTTCATGTCGATTTGCAATTTCTTCTTGGAGTTTCATTCTTTTCTATTTTGTTTTGTTTTGATTTCTTATTCATCTATTTTGTTTGCTTGTTCACCTAAAATAAATATAATATATTTTTGTTGTGTACCAATAATAGTGATGGAATGAATAAATAGAACATTTATGTCATTTTATTTGTTGCTATTTAAGAAAAATGTTGTGTATCGAATAATTATTGTGGTGGTAATATAACCACCCTTTACTCAATTAATAAGCATAACAAATGTTATGCAAATGTCCCGTGGTGACAACGTTATAGTGCGCTTTGTCGTCCCTCAGGGAGTCCTATTCTCACGTCATAAAGGGAGGTCCATATGAAGGAAAATCATTTTTCGAATATCCGACTCAAGTATGTATAAGCTGTGATCGCATTTGAATTTAGCCGGGTGACGAACCGGGGGGAAGTTCGCTACTCTTCAAGATTAATCGGACAAAGCATAGACACACGAGTCATCAAAAATAAATAAGCATAACAAATGCAGATTTCAACTGTCCATTAAAGCTTAATTTAGTAGCATTTGGAGAGCTCGAAAACACTTATAGAATATTTAATTTTATAGACTGTAGTACTTTCTAAATATGCTTCCAAACCGTTTAATGTTCACAACACTTTTGTTTGATAATCAAAACAATCATCAAAATTTGGTGACAACTCTTTTTGAAAAAAAGCTCTATAAGTAAAAGTTCTATTGATAAAAACTCTACCCACAACATTCTGTACCAAACAAAGCCTTATTCAATAAAAGTTTTTTAACCACAATAAACAATTGCCTTTTTACACAATGTGCCTTTCACCTTCTTCACTCGATATGATAAGACGACTACAAATCATATTTTCTATTTTCTTGACTAAAAAGGTTAAACTTCTTTGGGGCTCAAAAAGGTCATCCTAAACAAACTTATACAAAGAGATACAACTTAAGAAAATGAATAAATAAATTCCTACTGCAAATAAGTAGTATTTGTGAATGACCAACATATCCCATGTAGCACTAGTTATTATGACTTTTGTACCCCTAGCTACCATAATTCTTCCCTATAAATATAGGGTTTTGGTTCACAATAAAATATACACAAATCTTTTGACTAATTTGTTTTCTTCTCTTTTCTCTCAGTTTATAACACATTATCAACACAAAAAATCTTACCAAAAAATAGAGACAATAAAAAATCAACAGTGAAGAAATTTCCAGGATCTGGACAGCTTGCACAACTGTGATAAAAACATTGACATTTAACCATTTCGTTGTTCGATCGTCATAAAATGTTGATAGAACGTTCACAATTCATTGTTCCAATATAACGATTAATATCAAAATCCAACATTTCATTTGTGAGAAATATCAGCGAATATTTAATTACTATAAAAATTTTCGAATTTACATCTTTGAATATTATGAGATTTGTCAATTATTCAAGGTTTCCTAAAGCTTTCAAATTCAAATAAGCCCCCTGTTTGAACCACATTCTCATTTTCATTCACATTCTTCTACTCATTTTCAACTACACATTTTTCAATAAAATAATATTTTATATCACGTCAATAACATTTTCTTCTTTTTCAACCACATATTCCCATTATATCACACAAAAAAAAAAATTAATTTCTCTCCTAAAAAATGTGCATCAAACACAACCTAAATCTATTCTTCAAAAATCTTTTTATTCTATTATATATTATATTTATAAAATTTTAGATCAGTTAAATATTTTGATTTAACTATTGCTCCTAAAGAAGCATAACTTGAAATTGTATTTGTATTAAATAAATATTGTGTTAATGTTCTAGAAGAAATAAACCCACCTTATATAAATGTTTCAGAAAGAATATTATGTGCTCCTGAAGAGTATGATATTACAATTTCAATATTTCAGAAAAATATTGACATATTGCTCCGGAAGAAGCAAAAAAATAAATATTGATATTCTTGAAGAATATCATATTGTGTTCTTGAAGAATCATAAATTTATAAATATCAATATTCTAGAAGAACATTATGATTAATTAAAATGTATCAATATTCCTGAAAATATTGTTCTATTACTTGTGAGTAATGATAACTAAGTACATATCAATATTTCAAATTAAAGAGAAACAAACTAAGTCTCTAAAATGTGAGGTACAATTAAAACAAGCACTATATTGAACCTAAAGTTGAATTATTGAATGTATTTTTGCTTGAGATGACCAATTGGACAATTACTGGATTAATAATGATACAAAATTAAGAATTCAATGGACCACGACAAACCAGAAAATTTTTCAATCTAATGAATTCCTCTATAATGTTTGTTTTTTTTAATTGAAAATTGGTCAATTATCACTAACTAAACTTATATTTTTGCAAATTAATTAGGGTGTTACACGGGATCTTGTCACCCTCCATGTTGACCATCTAGATCTAATTTGTATTTAATAGATATGATATGTCAACTAGATGATTATATGGTGTTTGCAACTTGAAGTTTGTGAAATTGGTACTTAAATTTTAAATTATGAGCATAATTTTTAGATTATACGATTACGACAGTGTCTTGTTAATGTTAGTAAGCCTAAATCTCAAATTTTTAATAAATGTTAGTAGGGATGTCGATAAATGGTTTAACACTATTGTTTGTTAAATGCTTTCAATTAATTTCTAAACTATTACTATTGAGAGGGAATTCTGTTAACATCATATCAGTATTGAAGTTTGTTTTCCCTATATATGGCTTATGGTCAGAGCTAAATTTTTCATGTAATTATTTTGATAGTGCATTACATATACAATTGATCTACCACAATACACTGAGATGGACATTAATGAATGCCGAGAATACATGTTTATTTTGAATCTTGTGAAATATTTTAAGATCCATCGGAAGATATTTTATAACACGATTTGCCGATTGCCAATTTAATTAGACAATTATCTCAGAATTTGGGGAAGGAATTAAGAAGCTAAAAAATTATGTACATAATACATTATTACATTATCTAGATCCTCGTAAAAGATAATTCAAAATAGAAGTTCGAATGATGATTCACTTTGATGCATTTATTGATCAAAAATATCAAAAATATCTCACACACTACTTTTAAATGCTCTAATTTGAATTGACATCCTGAAAGGACAATTCTTTACTATTATATTTGATAAATTTATGGCACGCTTGAAGCGTGATATACATTCGATTCTAAAAAAAAAAAAAGAGCCTAGAATAGCCCCTCCCATTGCCATCCATAATTCCACAAATATGCTTTATTAAACTAGTATATTATAATAAAACTAAATAACATTTTTTAGTCCTAATTACAACAACATTACACGTGAGAGTATTAAACAGTGTAATATAACAGGGGATTGGTGTCTGACGTAGTGATGCAGCTATCACTAATAGTCAATGTGGAGTTGATGCTTGAAAGTGGAGTTGATCCTCCTGCTTCAATGTCAGTTACTTGCAAAGTTCTTTCGATGGTTGCAGGCCTCCTAGATAGCCTAATATTCTCCAAGTCCATAGCAACTTCTTTCATTGTTGGTCGTCTTATCCCATTCAAATTCAAGCATCGATATGCTATATTAGCAACCAAAATTATCTCTTCATCCTTGCAGGGCTCCGAAATTTTTGGATCAAGAATCTTAGTCTGGCAGTTTTGTTCCATGGACGTAAGAAAACGTTTCACTAAACTTCTTTCATCTTCTGCAACACTTGAAGTAATAGGTTTTTGTCCAGATAAGAGCTCAACAAGAACTACACCAAAGCTGTAGATGTCACTCTTATCAGTAAATTGGTTTGATTGGAAGTATTCTGGATCTAAATAGCCGAAAGTCCCCTTCACTACGGTTGTCAGGTGAGTTTGATCTATGGAAACTGGTCTTGAAATTCCAAAATCTGACACTTTGGCTTTATAGTTTTCATCTAAAAGGATGTTACTTGACTTGATGTCCCTGTGATAAATGGGAAGAGAAGTTTCATAATGAAGATAGGCAAGGGCTCCTGCTATCTCTGCTGCGATTCTCAAACGTATATCCCATGTCATGGGGAAATCATCGCTCTCATCATGGATGTGATCAAAGAGGGTTCTATTGGGTAAAAATTCGTAAACCAACATGGGAACTTCCGTCTCCAAACAACATCCAAGTAGCTTGACAACATTTCTGTGGTTGATTTGAGAAAGAATTACAACCTCATTTATAAACGGCTCCAGTTGATTTTCTCCTACTAACTTGGACTTCTTCACTGCTACAGTTCTCCCGTCAGATATCATGCCCTTGTAAACCGTACCTTGACCTCCTCGACCAAGTATTCTACTTTCGTTGAATTGATCTGTTGCCTTCGACAACTCCTTAGCTGTGAAAAGTCTTGTTTTTTCTATGAGACCTTCATTAGTTGATAGTTGTTGCTCTAACAAAAGACCGCCATTTCTTTTGAAAAATTTATGTTTGCGCTTTTGTTTCTACCTCTTCTTCACTACTTTGTATAGCCGAAAGCCAACTGTTAGTAGTAATAACAGTCCAATGATTGCACCCACGACTGCACACAAATATTGAAAAATGAAAGAGCAGTCAAATGAGATACTTCTTGTGCATTTCTTGTAGTGTGAAAATTAGGAGCATGCTCTTTGATAGGTACTTACATTTATCACAAGCAAATTTTCGTGTCTTGATTAAAGACTTGTTGGAGTCAGAGTCAACCAAATTGAAAAAGAATATACTGTTACAGCATTGGTTTCCTTCTTTGTAATCATAAAGTACATTTATTTTCATTCCTTATAATCAAATTAGGGATGTATTATACTTTGTTGCTTAAACCTTCATTATATCCGTTATTCATTGCTGTGTTGGATGTATTATACTTTGTTTGATGCTGCTACTTAGCAGATTTCTAGCAAGTTTACAACTTTGAAAATTCAAAAATTTGAATAAATTTCATNTCCAATGAAATAATATTATATAAAAATTCAAAATTTTTCCTTATTTTTTAATCACATTCTTTGAAAAATCACTATTCTAAAATATGGTCATGTTTGAGCCACATTAATTTTTCATTTCATTCTTCTACTCATTTTCAACCACACATTTTTCAATAAAATAATATTTTTCATCGCATCAATAACTTTTCTTTCTTTTCCATCAATCTACTATTTCAAAATATATTCTTACAAAATAATGTGGTTCAAACACACCCTAAAACTTTGAACTTTCAAATTTGGGAACTTGCTAAATTGGTGCTGATGTATTTTTGAAAATATGCTTTAAACCTTAAAAAACTGGTCAATCTAATCCATTTCAAACTTATATAAAAAAATTTATGCAAAATATGGTTTAAGTCTTATCATGAACATTAATAATAATAATAATAATTAAAAAAGAAAGTAAATTAGTAAAAGCTATATTTCCTTTTTTTCCTGGGTTATTCAGACTGCTTCTCCTATGGCAATTTACCCAAGTAGGTGCAAGGACTTTTTATTTTTGACTGAATGTAATTAACACGATGCAAAGAGAAGAGGAGAAGAAATTTGCAGGGGTGACGAGGGTTTATAACCTGAAAACACTAGTAGTTTAACTGAACGCCGGGGAGGTTTAATAGAACTCAAGAGAATGCAACCAACACCAGATTTTCTGCCATCACCAATATAACCTTTCGGGCAAGAACAGTCGTAACCACCAGGAGTATTATTGCAAATCCCGTTTTCATCGTCACAGGGATTACTCTTGCATTCATTGATATCTGAAAAACAACAAACAAAGTCAGATGCATGTCTACATTGGGGTTATAAGTCATTTTGATTTATCCATGAACCAACCTTGGCAGCCTGGTTTGAGATATGGATTTCCCACATATCCGCTAGGGCAACTGCAGCGATATCCTCCAAAACCAGTATCAGAATCAAGACAAATACTGTTTTCTTGACAAGAAAAATTATTGGACTTTTGAGCTTCAGCGCAAGTTTCATTGTCGATCACCCAATCCAACACCAATGGCACAGTTTTTAAAATTTTCTCTATGACATGTGGATCTGTGAGATCAAACAAGTGAAATACGTAGCTATCCTTCTCTCCAAGAAAGGAATAGCCACATCGGTTAAAAGACCAGACCTTTGTGTGATTTTCAAGGCTGCTCATGGAAGTTCTAAAGTTCTTTACACCCATGGGAATGGGGGTCTGACNAAGTTCTTTACACCCATGGGAATGGAGGTCTGACAACAGCCAACTCCAAAACAATATTCGTCACTCAATTCCCTGCTGTCTGAACAAGTTGTGAAACATCCGCTGGTGAAGCTTTCAGCGGATCCCATGGAAAAGTCATCACACCCCACAACTGTAAACACATTTTCATTTGACAAACTGTAAGGTGTGATCTTTAGATTGACCGAAACTGAGGTTCCGCTAGCCATGGCACCAGACTCATCATAGCAACGGGAAGCTATCGGAGTTTTTACCCGGATTTTGGTGTCTGATATATTAATTACCTCTAAATTACCCGTACCAATGAAGGCTTTTGGAGGAGTGAAAGATGTGTTACAGTTGATGTCAAACCACGATCCAATGGAACACCCTGAACCTAAACCGATGCCAAACGGGTATGGAACAGTTAAATTCCCGCACTTGGTTCGGCAGCCAGGCTTGGTTATTATGCTGTTATTGAGGGTCTGATTTGATATGGCCAAACTTATTGGAAACCATAAGAGGAGCAGCAGAATGTAATTCTTCATATTGGTTGATACATGATAAGTGTGTTTTGCGCATTTAATTATGACACAAAATAGATTGA